ATTTTGGCCTCTAGATTTGAAATCATTCTCGATATATGAACAGTTATAGTATTTTTAAAGTCAGAATACATACTTTTCATCTTTTAATTACAATACGGATTTGTAAAATGCTTTCAATATGTTAATATATATATATATACAGTCAAAAGTCTTTAATCCGGACTCGTCGGGACTTCGGCGATTCCGGATTATCGATTTTTCCGGATTATAGATCATCAGTTTAAATCTGGTAAGATGGCATGCAGAAATTATAAAATTAAAAATATGAAACAGTAGTTTATGAAATAAAGAGCAATTATGATCTAAAGGGTATCAAAATTTGCAAAAATAGCTTAATATTTATTTGTTTACTTTATTAAACATTTCTTTCAACGCACACATGCGTAAAGCATACATTACGTATAGTCGAAATTAGAAAATTGCAACCAGAACAGAAAACTATTTGATGTGTATTGGGAAAAGCTATTGCCTGAATGTATTCAAAAAATTCCTTTGGAAGGACTTGAAATTGTAAATACTGTTGGTTCCTCGGATGTTGTTGTTTCCATGTGGAAGTTAAGCAGATATAGAGGAGCTGGTAGAGGTACATAATACTGAGAGACTGCTCATGAACTACAACAGTTAAGAAAGGAACACGGGGAAGAAAATGACGAAAGCAAATGTCCTCGGAGAATAAAGAAGCTAGCAACAAAATGGGAGCACTTAAAACAAATGACACAAAGAAAATCTTGCAACACTGAAGCGAATTAGATAGAATGGTTAACATATGGAATCCAGACTCTTCTTTTTAAAGCAAACGATCCTTTCAATGAACACTGGCATTAATAATTTTATAAAGGTAATAAACAAACAACAGATTGAATCATAATTGGATAGGTGTTTTTAAATCTCTTTCTTCAAAGAGACTAACAGAACGAACTGACGACAGGAAAATCAAAACTGAAAACCAAAAGAATTTAATTTATTTAAATATTAATAATTCATTTTATACAAAGCATGTAAAACCAAAGCTTTTGTAAATACAACTAATAATGTCTTTATAAATACATATAACTTTTATTTTTTCCAAAAATCTAAATCCTTGAACAGACTGACCGATTTCCCATCACATCCAAATATAAAAACTGAGTTTCGAGATACGAACTGCGGATAGGAAAGAAATAAAGTTCGTACGTCGAGGTACCACTGTACCTTGTTTCGATGCACTTTTTTATTATAGAAACGTTCGTTTTACTTTAAAAAAGTCAATGACCTAAAATTGGAACAGTATATTTATTACATTACAAGTGAAGAAACTGACAGTTTCACTCACGCGTGAGTCGGATTTCCGCAATGCTTATGGGGATCGACAAAATTTTCGTAAATATTATGGGGTCCACACACCAAAAAGTTTAAGAAGCCCTGGTACCTTGAATCACATTTACTGATGTAATAAGGTCTCACTAGATAGCGACGAAGTTCTGCTTATGTCACTTGCTATAATTATACCATAATATGAAATCTATCAGCGCGTTCAGAAAGCTGTAACGTCGAATCCCCCGACACGAAGTAGAAATGATGAAATACTTATGTTCTTACGAATAGTCCTAAAAGGGCGTTCAAAACCAGTAGCGGCAGACATAGGATGAAAATTTCTGGAGCGAATCATGCCATAGAAAGAGCTTCCATATATAAAAACGACGGCTTCGCCATTTGATATTCAGAACCACTTACCCAGATCTATAGAATGTATAATTTCACGAAGCATTTTTCTTATAAGGCTGACAAAGGCTATGTTCCATCGTCAGGATCTGTTACATCACCTGCTATCAACTCATGAGCATCGACAGCAACGTTTAATGCTCATGTTACTGTTGGAAGCCATACTTCCATCACAACTGACGTTAGCGTTTGGACATCCACTACCCAAGATCAGTCAAGTTCAGTAAACCCCCTTGGCAATAAGGTGATGACATCCTGCTGCAGTGCATTTTTTTAGGAACCTAGACTCTCTTACATCAAGATATGTTCACTTGTCTACAGTGACCTTCTGCAAGAGGTGTCCCAGTAATATCAAAACTTTCTATTAGCTTGCTAGATCGATAGACCTTTTGCCCACAGTATAAGACATATTAAAAGGACGTTTACAGTGATCAAGCGAAATGCGTGAATTTGATAAGGGATTTGAAAAGAATCTGGCAGAAAATCTGCAGTGGCATTCCAAATTTCGATGAGTATTTGGGAGACCGAGTACATCTTATTGTGTTTCAGTTCAGTTTAGACTAAGTCTTCATACTATTTCACTGCAAATGGAAGACCAAGGTTGCCCTTGATCTTGTTGCACACCTACTTTTATTTTTTGGAGCGAGATCCACGTTCAAATCACATATCTAAAGTGGTTTGCGTCTCCTTAAGGGTAGTTCTTAAATAACGCCAACATTGATATATTTAACAAATTTGCCATTCTATTCACTTTAGCTCGAATGGCGTGTCACTACTTGTCACCTGGATATCTTCCCCAATTCTTCAGTAGGCCTTTGATGATTGCATCAAGCTGCGATCACGTGTTCTTTTCGTTTTATTCAGAAAGAACTTCTCTTTGGATTTCTTCGTGTTCATGTCCAAGAAGTTTGTAGTTCTTCAGTGTAAACTCTTTTTCGTATTCTTCAAGCAGATTAACACATCCTTTTCTTCCAAATCAGTGTTGTGAAAACACTCCGCTCCTGGTTGTCTCACTCACTTGTTTATCCTGGACGTCAAGACAGAGATTTCTCGAAGCCTGAGCTAAAGAGATCTCTTCTTACATTTAACGACTTCCACGGTGTTGAATACGCCTTTTCAGAATTTTCTGACTGTCATATCAGATGAAATTTAGTTCGATTTCCTTTTTTAAGTTCAAAGGGGCTTTGTCCCTGAAGGACTACTGTTTTCGTTTTGCGATTTTGCGTTGAATCACTAAAAATGTCCGTTTCACTTTTCAAACTGTTGTCACCAAATGTTAGAGTCTGCATTATATTTAAAAAAATTAAATAATGAAAACTCTGCATAAATGTATGTATATTTCTCCCATTGTGATAAGACAACGGTACATAGAGCCATCGAATTTTGAATGACGTAATCCTACTGCGAATATGGGGGGGGGGACCTTTTATCTCCAGCGCGCGGAACTGTGTATCGGAAATTCTAAAGATAGGCTGTTTTAAAATTATTTTTGCGACATTGCTATTGAATTGAAATTTATGGTTTAAGTGCGAAGAACATGATATTTAATAAATAAAGGTAACACACACAACGTTAAAAAAACGCTCCTTTGGATGTAATTTAAAATCTGAAACGTTTCAGATTTTAATATTATCTATTTCATCATTGGTCAGACATTAAAGAATTTTTATTGTTGTTGTTTTACATGTGTTTTTGTACTTAGTTTTCATGAAGTTGGCATCATCTGACACAAAGAAGTTATGCTAAGCAGCAGGTACTGTGTCTTTACGTAGTCTTACAGAGCTACAATAAATAATTCATCGGAATTCAAAACATAAAGCTATGACTATCATACATGCAATAATAACTGATATACGAAAAGAACCAGAACTCACGAAATTTTCTAGGATGTATGCCATATGGCCAACAAGGCATGCAATCAAGGAAATCTTGGTGAATTTTGGATTCTTCACATATATCAATTACTATGGCGCATGCAATATTTTTAAAAATATAATCAATGTTCTGAAATCTGATGAACCATTTTACAAACCTGTATGCCAGTTCTTCCTCCAAATATTTCGGTAGTCAGAGGCATGATCAAAGGATCAAGAAATAGCACAGTTTTCAGTGGCAAGTCTTTCCTATCAGATGTTTCTTTATACAGTATGTGAAGATTCCAACTATCCATTTTTTAAAAATAAATTTGGTGATTGTTAAGCTTTTAATTCAATTTCCAAAGGATACACAGCATCCTGTTTCTTAAAAGCTCTGAGATATTATGAGTGATAAAACTATTAGGGTTTTAGTTTCAGTCTCCCTTGTATTAAGTAGCAAAGAATAATTTTATTCTTTATTCCACAGCTTGTGCCCAAGTTAATTTCTGCCTCCTTTTGTTACATAGGTTCTAATAGGCATATTTTTCTCGAAGAGCCCAACCCCATATGTGCATTCTTTATGTGAAGCACTGTTATACTTTAACAAATAATTATTCCATTCTTTTACTTAGCTTAAGCCTTGATCGAAACTTAATTTTTAAAATTAGATGTGCAGAGAGTTTTCTGGAAAACTGAGAGAGATAGAGAATAAAAATATATAAATAAAGTTATTATAAACAAAATAAACATAAATAATTACACAAAATACGAAAAATAAATAAACGTATTGATAAATTAACTTAAATAAATGACAAATGCAAGAATAATAAATTAAACTATAGCAATGTATGACAATTTTTAAACAAAATAATAAGACAAAGTAAAAAATAATAAGTTATTAATAACAAGACATGGTATCGAGGGAAAAAAGAAATATTTTGTACGGTATTCCCGGTCAGATAAAAAGAGATTTTATTTTTGCCTTTTAATCCTCTTAAGAGGTTTCTCAACCGAATGGGTGCAAACAATTCTTCAGAAAAGCTCATAAATCGGCTCTCTGATTCATTAACTAAAGTTATTTAAAATATGTTGCTATAATTAGTTTGTGCACAACACCAAACGTCTTCATTAAGCGTTAAAAATAATTTAGTAGTAACTAAGATTTACTACTTGATCAACAAACACATTGTTTTCATTTCAAGCTTTTAAAAAATTGATTAGCCGCCTAAAGCACCAGTTTTCTAAAGGCGCCAACTAATTTCTTTTAACAAGCTACAACTAGATAAAGGTATACTTCGTTTTGAATTAATAACATGCTTAATTTAACTACACTAATTGCTTAAGGTGGCGAAAAAAACTGAAGCTGAATTCTATCACTATGGCATTACACAATTTGATAATTATTACCACATGTAATTCGGAAGAAAAGAAAACAAGGCTTACTTCTTCGAGTCCTTCGAGAATCTAAACTACTAGAATCTTCAACAGCAGGCATCTCATTGGAATTATCTGGAGTATTTGAAGACTGATCCTCTTTAACAACGGAATCAGTTCCGTAGTTAATATCACTTGAATACTCGTTACTTGAAATGTTCTGCTGGCAGTTTGTTTCACAACTATCAGTATCTTTTATCACAGAAGCATAGTTATTAGAATATTCTTCAGAACAGTCAGAATTTGGTAATAACGATTCCTGGTCACAATTTCTTTTCACAGGAATTTCACCAGAATTGGAAGAATTCTGCAGTTCTTCAGTGAATCGTTTGGAGACAGATTTTCCAGCAGACTGGTCCTTGTCAAGTGATCGTACTGCACTGGAGAGTGGATTTATTCCGCAGAGAGTTAAACCGGAATTTATTAAGATTTCACTATCAGAAGTAATGTCTTTCTTGGAATGAAAACTATGTAGTTTATCGTATATTTTGGGAATCTGATCTGCTCCACCATTGTTGAAACTTTCAGAACAACGTGACAACTGTAAAGAAAAGAAAAAGTCTTATTTAACTATAAATGAGATAAGAGAGTTTCTGTTGGGAAATGTGGAAGAAACACTGGCATCATGCAATACTGTATTGGTGGAAATAATATAAACACAAATATTTTACATACATTAAATTTAATATATACAAGAATAGAATAATACAATGAGTGAAGTAACACGAAGATCACAGATGAAATTAAAAAGAGGTTAGCAAGATAAAGTAACAATAAAAGGAATTTTAAGTACAAAGGGGCAATTTGCCCTGAAGGACTATCGTTTTCGTTTTGCGATTTTGCGTTGAAAATTTTAAAAGACCGTATCACTTTTCAAATTGTTGCCAGCAAATATTATCGCCCTGTATTATATTTAAAGAAATTAAATAATGAAGAATCTGATAATTGTATGTATGTTTGTCGCATTGTGATACAACAACGGTACCTACGTGAAGCCATTAAAATTTCTGGACAACAGGGGAAGAGCAGTTGTCTTTTAAATATTTATTTTAAAACTTAATAAGAATTTCTTGAATAATCCTAGAATAAGTAAAATAATCAAACTTCTAGAATAATTAAAATAATCAAAACATTACAGCCATAATAAAAAACAATGGCCGCTGCATGCGGCTTTGGGAGCGCTACTTGGTGGCGAGGAACGACCTCTGTTTATAGATATACTGATGTCCATTTTCTGGTCTTTGTTTTGCATTTTATAGTTAATTGTCTTGTAAAGTACTATTACAAATAAAATATATATACTATACAAACAGAATATAAGATGAACCTGAATTGATAAGAGAGAAAGTTCAATTATAAGACAGCTTCACATAATGAGTTTGATACGTCGAAAGCAGGAAAGGCAACTGAGTAATTTAATAGCATAATCATTGAAATAAAACTAGTTTTATGTAAAGCTTAAGTGCGAAGTTGCCGTCGAGCCTTTCCCTTCTAACTGTTGAACTTTACGTCATCCTAATACAAGAACCAACCAATCACAAAGAAGCAAACAAGAACTGACATTCAGTCAACAGTTTCGATGAGTCGACTATATATACATACCTTTTCTAATTATTCATGGATGACCTGACGCCTAAAGAGTAGCAGAGATGACAATAAGAAAAGGCGAAATTCGAATTACAAGGAAGTAGAATTAAAGATATGTTATTAGACACTGCGATGTTAATATAACTAGAAAATATGCGAGGAATAACGGTATAATGTGAGTAATTCATACAAATCAACAGGCTTATTCCTGAAATTTCCACACTTGACTTTCAAAACATGAGCAAAATCAAATATTAAATAAATCAAATAACTGTAAGGGTGCCAAGACAATAGAAAAACAGGAGGAAGATCACTGTCTGTAAAGCTTCATACACAGGGTGATTTTAAAATCATAAGTGGTCTAGGTCGAGCTTCGTTACTAGGCAATTAGACCTTGCTATGTCAGAAAAACTGGTTTAAGGATTTTGCCTAAGTGTTCTAACTTCTCAACTTTATGCCACTTGGTATAAAAGCTAACCAATCACAGCGAAGAAAACATCGGTCGATGGTTTCGCAATGTCAGCTACATATTTCAGCATGCCAAACTTTCCCTTCCTTCGCTGGCTACGGCTTAAACCCTGCTAAATACGTACGAATGGCTTAATGACTTTCATGACTTAAACCCCAAAGCTTTATGACGGCAAGACCGTTGTCTGAACGAAGCTTAACATAAGATTTCGCACAACCACACCACAGGGTTAACATTCAGGGCGTTTAATATCATACTAATGCTGCGCTCACGACATCCATCTTAGAATCATGCCGTCGTTGTTGCGTTCCCTCTATCAGTTCTTACTAAAACCGTTAAACAGCGCGCAGTCGTCGTTTACTCTTCAGAACAATGCAGAACTTTCCAGAACAGTGTAAAACCGTTAAAGCAGAACTTAAGAACCAGTTCTTTCCGAATATTTAGAAAGTCTAAATTCTAAAATTTTCGGTGCCCCTAAATTGTGCCAGCCAGTGCACCGGCTCTGGCGCCAGCCCTGAATATAACCAATAAAAAGATTAATACAAAACAATATGCAAAAAACACACTGTGCAAAATTGCACTGCTAACTTTCGTATTTTATTCCAGTTTTTTTTGAACGAAATAACGCTTACTGTATAAATAATCCCCTCCTTCCAAAACAATATAATAAAAGCCCTAAAATATATACTTCTTAAGAGATCTCACAAAGACAGTGTTTCTAAGGTTTACTTCGCATGATTCTTTGGAAGTGGTTTCTGATTTAATTAGTCAAATAAAAAGGTATAAAAACGTAAACCAGTACTTTTCTATATTATCATCAAATATGGAGTTTATTCAAATTGAGATTATGATGTCGATTTACATTCCTGCTCAAATTTATCTTTACATAATCAGAAATAATAATATTCTATGAAGTATCCAGTCGATGTAATCCATTTTTGCAGGGAAGGTGTGAAAGACTCACCTAATTAGCATTATCCATTTAAAAGTGATCAAAGTGTTTCTGTGAATATCAGAATGAATTTCATCAACACAGCTTTTAATTTCAGTAAAGACTCAAAACGATTTGTTATGGCTCCGAAGTATCATATGGAAGAAATCGTGAAGTAGCGAAACATCGGCCGTTTATAAGCAGGGCAGATAATCATGGAAACAGTAAAATGTGTGAATATTTCAAGACAGTCTCTATACTATGGAAACAATTTCAGAAATCTGGAACTGTTATATGGAAGCCTGCACAAGGTCGTAAGCGAATAACAACTGCTTCTCAAGATCGAATACCTGGCAATAGCTGCCTGTCGTAACAGGAAGACTACTGATGATCACTTAAGTTCAGAGCTTCTAATCGCCGCTGGAACTTTTATCACGGTAAACTGTACACAGAAGTTAATGAAAATGGCTTTTATGACAGAAAGCCAAGGTTATATATTTCACTGTCTACACAATAAGAAACAGATCACTTTAACTGATGCAAGTAACATCAGAACTGGAGTGAACACCAATGGTCCCATGTTCTCATTACTGATGAGTCAAATTCTAGATTAACATCTAATTCTAAACATGTTTATAGCTGCAATGAGTCAGGAATTCGAAATCTTCCTTTAAACTTTATGGAATGTGACTATTTCGGTAATGCAAGTGAGGTGATAAGGAAAAGAATAATGATCGATGGAAATATGCCCCCACACGTTTTCAACAGCGGATCTGTGACCAGCCAGAACTGCATATGGATCTAACGATTTATTTATGGCGATAGTAATGCTCATCCACAATAAGCAAACATCGTTGATGAGTTTCTTGAAAGTGAAGACATTCAGCGAATACTGTGGCCAGCAAAATCTCCTCATCTTAACTTGATATACAACTTATGGGTCTTACCTCGGAAAGATATCTGCACGAGACCTCTTCATCTTAAGCTGGTGTCAAACATCAATTTATTTCAGATGCACAACTGCTTCAAACAATTTTCCTGCTTTACCACTGAAATGAGGTTTGATAGGGATAAGGCCTTCGGCCCAGGTACCCGGGTGTGTCAAAGAACGTCTATGTAAAGAAGGAAACGCTCCATAGACGTAATGTAGTTTGTCTTCTACACCGCTAGAAAGAAGAGGGAAAATTCGCTAAAGGATTTGGTGACGAAACCTGTTGGCGAGAATTTCCCCCTCTGTGATGTACCGGACTTAGCCGACATTTTTTCTTTTGCGACGTATACAGAAATTGAGGAACACGGGTTAAGATGAATAAGAAAATTAGTTGAAGTTTCACTTTCACTGGCTGTTGAACTGCATTAACCATATCGCAGTTTGATGTCTGATTTTATACCCGTCAATATGGAGGGAAAAAAATGGAATCACACAGCTTTAAATTCTTAATAAACGTGACCGTGGAACGTGTTCGAACTTCGACATCAGCTTCGAGCTTTGGCGACAGATATTTCACGCATGCGCAGCTGTTTCCCTTTTCGTTCGAAGGGAGCTAGTCCTGCTGCTGCGAAGTTTTCCTTCTTAGCAATACATATTCTTTGGGTGTGTACACCATTCTCTCGTGAAACAGAAGACGCACAAGTTTTTTCCTTTCACAAAATATTTTTAAGTTGTTCGCCTTTTTTTAACAACCAATCAGCTATCAGCATCAAATTTCTCGTCATCAACCATCATTTGTAATGGTGAACTAGTTTCCCCTTTACGTGGTAACCCCAAAATGATCTACGGTGATTGGTTGTTTCGTATCGTGTGACAAAACAGAAATAATATTCTAGAGTTGTTCTTCCGAAATGTTTTGAATGTGTGATACGAGATGTAAATGCTTTGAAGACAACATTGGTGAAGGAGTAAATTAATTTCCCACAACTGTGGTTAACAATGCTATTTATTGCTAGTAAATCTTTTCCTCGGTATTTATGTGTTATGATGCTATGTATCATTCCACAGATATTCATATAATTATAGTTCATATTTTATGAGAAATCCGTGATTTAATCTATGTAAAGATAATTTTGGACATGAGAGTATACATTGACGGTTCCTCACTGTTATGAAAGTTAGCTTCTAAAATCGTAAAAACAGATGACTTTATAATCCAGTCTTAACTTTTTTTATCCAATACCATTTAAATAAAATAACACCACCTAAAATAAATCTTTTTGTTGATTCGTTAGGCTGAGGCTTACACGACATATTACATAGCAGAAAAGCCGAGTCTCTGCAGATTGCGGGTAAATCAGAAAAATTAAATGCAAAATAAATGGGCCCCTATACAGTTTACATTTCCTATTCTTTGGAGCATCGAACTTCAAGGCTATGGCCTTTTAGGGCAAATCTTTATTAAGCGACTGCCAAGTCGGGCTTTAAATTTGAACGCATAATACATTCATATCCGTAACTTAGGCTCAAACCTTCAATTGATTACAGAGCAATTCACATCTGACAAAAACCAACTGCTTTAAATAATTCGAATGCTAAAGAAATAATAGAATGACAGTGAATAATAACTACTAACTCAAAAGCTCTGAGTTTAAAAACACATTAATTAATTTGCATCTTGCTAGGAGCCGACAAAAGTAGAAGTGAAATAAATGCAGATAAAATAATAAGATAACTGGTTAATTACCATAAAACCCTAAATATGTAATTACTTTAATGTAATTATTTTAATGATGAATTATATGCTTTCTTTCAGTTTAGAAAGCATTATACACATAATTATTAGTTACGATGTCTTGTGGGAAAAAATTCTTCTCATCCACACTGTTATGAAAGTTAGCTTCTAAAATCATTCTATGAATTTGAATTTAACAAATGCGTGACACATGCTTCATGTAGGTGCAGGAACACATTGGTAGTCGAAAATTAAGCCAGAACGGGGAAGGGGTGAAAACAAAAGGCTGCAAAATGTAGAAATTTGGAATTTTGAGGATAATTTGTAATTCACTTCGGAATTGTGTGTTTTGTTATAAAAATAACCATTTATATAATTTTTAAACCATCTTGTGCTTTGCTATTGCTGATTTTTCAGCGAGTAGTATGCTAGTTAACCATATGTAATAAAATAAATGGTAAAAATTTACAATTGGGTGCCCCTTGTTTTTTGGCGATTTTTTTTACGCCAAAATCGGCGCCGGGAAGGCACAATTTCAAGATGGCCGCTAAACAAAATCAAAATAAGAGGTCAAAGAATTGCACAAACTCTGTGTCCATGTACACAACGATCTATTTTCACTTAAAAAAAAAACATCAGAGAATTTCACAAATTAGGCAATGCGCACTGCCTTAACTTAGTCCATGTACACATCAATCTATTTCCATTTTAAAAAAATCAAGAAGCTAAAACAGTTAAAACTATTATGGTAGCCAGAGATGAGGTTTCATCGCCAAAATTTGTCGCTAATCGAAGGGGCACCCAATTCTACACTAAAACCAAATAAACGAATGAATAAATAAATTAATTAAAATTAAACACTATAACCTTTATCTAAAGAAGCCATAAACAATATAACCTTTATCTAAAGAAGCCAATAGCAAGTACTATAATAATTAAATATTAAAGAACTTGAACAATACTGAAATAATTTTTAAATATTTGAACTAACGTTACAGATGAATGACATTCGAACAAAATCCGCACAAAACAATTAACTATATCATGTCTTCAGAGCTTCTATAAATTTAATATAAAACTCTTTAGAAGTCGTAATTAAATATTTATTTATTTATGTTTCAAAGATGAACTCAATTAGCAATAGCGAATTTATTTCCTATTAGTTTAAAATAGTTTATAGAAGTGTAACTATTTATGATCCGCATTTACAGGATAAATCTTGGTCATTGCAGCTGAGATACTCTATACTTGGCATTTTATATAATGGCTGCCTAAAAAGTCATTATAAAAACGCTGATGTGGGCACACATGACTTCCTTGTATGGCTTATTAAATTAAACACACTGTTTTTTTCTTTCTGCACTTCAGCTAAACTTTCTCCGATCGCCGATCTCTCAAAAGAAGTTGAAAATGACAACAAAAACTGCAAATTAAATATCTTGGTCAATTTTTGTCGTATAGAAGTCAAACTTCTTATATTTTTATTTTTTCATAACAAGTATAAAATTTTCCCAAATATAAGTTTAGGAATCGGGATTTCATTATTTGCCCAAAATTATTATTTATTTATTTATTTTTTAAATCTGACATTGCCAAAACATGAATATTTTCATCATTTAAAACACTTCTGTAATTGGAAAAATAGGACTTCGAAATCAACAATAGCGAAAATAAAGGCCAGGTAAACACTTTTAAGTCGGAAAAGAAAAACGTATTGCAATTATTTTAACGCATTTAGCTACCGTGACTTAATGGCTGTAGCTAATAATAAATATCAATAGAGATGAATAACTGCTCTTATTGCTTTTAAATCTCTTAGTTTGTTAATTAATAGCAAGTATATTAAATATGAAAGAAAAGTTAAATATTTTGAGCTTTGCTGAATGGCAACACACAGGCTCTCGAGGGAAAAAATATATTTCGGTCAGTAGCATTTCTTCTAAACCGCTGAGTTTGTGGATTAAATATTAGAGATAAATAGCTTACGCTTTCCCGAATGGCAACACATTTCTTTTAAATCGATGAGTTTTCTGACTGAATTTGAAACATAGGTATATCACTCTCTGCCGGGTAGCAACACACTGCTTTTAAATTGCCTGAGTTTATTAATCAAAATTTCATTAAATTCACACAAAATATGAATTAACTAAAAAACAAATTCAAAATTCTACCTTAAAGGTGCACATGTTCAAGTGATATATATACACTGAACATACATACATTTAGATTCTACATTATTTATCAATAGCGATTATAATACAGCAATCTAAAAGCTACTGGTCTAAAACTTTTTTAAAGCTTAATTTCAAAGATAATTTCTTAATTATTGTATTCAGTCCAATAAAAACAGGCCACAAACTAGTATACTCATATAAATTGTCTTTTAACTAAAAGCTTTATTTATTTATTTTTTTTTTTTTTTTAATTTAACAAATTGAAAACTAAGATACGTTAAATACATAATGTACTATATAGTTGATACTTACGAATATTTGCTGGCTTACTGACAATAAAATATTTTTCTAATACTGTATATTTATATATCGAAACAAGCTTTTTAAAATTGATGAACACTGAAATACTTAAAAACAACGTAGTACATATATTTTCGCTTAATAAGATTGACATAAATTCTCCCGCCTCCAAAAAATAAGGTTTTTTAAAAAAAAGTTTGTTTTGTTGCGAAAGCGTGACGAGCAAGTAATCTGGATAACTGAAGCTCAGAAAAATATCAATACGGATCGTTAAGTGTTCCAGCCAACGAAACAAATCCCGCTTAATATTTCTAAAATAAATTTTTCGTTATCTACACATAATATCAACAATTTAAAACGAAAAATTAATTAAAAATTAAAAAAATCAAATTACTTATAAATGGAGAAATAAGTTGTACAGCATGCATTTTTAACAAAATTTTAAACAACACAAGAGCTAAACAGGAAGTAAATTTAAAAAAAGATGCAGGAGGTTGTGAAAAATGAGTCATTAAGGTGTCATACAATTTAATTTACGAAAATTCCAAAATACTTTAAAACTATTTTACGTATACACATTTTCTTCCACTTTAGAAATTTTGCAAAAGTCAACCCCATCTTCCATGAATTTTTTAAAAATTGTGAAGTAAGTACATGCCAAAATTAAAAAAAAAAAAAAAAAAAAAAAAAAAAAAAAACCACATATGGTTATTGACATTTAATTAAATTTTTTGTTGCATTTAAAGGATTATTTTTAATTTATTAATTACGAATTTCAAAATGTTTGGTCTTTGTGAAGCTTTATTTCTAACTTTCTTACTTTATGTCTTTATATACAGTAGAGAAGTGATATCCAGAGTTTTAAGTGTGCAAGTAAATATGCAACCAAATATTTCGTCGTTACACAAGTATTTACACTTTTAAATTAACAATAATACGACTACTTACTTAATCGAGAAATTTTCAATTTTGTAATTTAACATTTTGATTACAGATCACAATAAATTTAAATGAAAAACTTAATATAGATGGAATATTAAAAAAGATACATCAACAATTCTGATATTTTAATGCATGGATAAGGTATCAATTAAAGTAATTTTTAAGGATTTAAAAGTAGAAGAAGAGCCTAATAAGCGATTTTTGAAAGTGAAATATGATATCGCAAAAATTAAATAAAATCCGAAGGACGAAATTCTATCTGATACGGAAGGAAATATCGGAAAATATTCTCGTTATTTAAAATACTAACACAGTTTCAGAATATTAAGGTACATACTCACATGATGCGCGTTTTTTTATTGTATATGATCCCTAATACCGTATCATAATCAAAACAAACCCGTGCAGAATATTTTGAAACACGGTTTGTTTTCAATCAGCCGACATCGCCTGTCAGACTTTGTAAATGATAGAATAAAAGCTTGACTGCATGATTTAATTAATTTTTTTAACAAAATTAATAATTATTATTACAAAAAATTTTGATTGAAACGTTTGATACATAAAATACACATCAGTAATAATACTTACTGTTTCTTCAATGTTGACAGATTCTGAGTCTCTTTTTGCATCCATTTTTGAGCGACCCACGGGCATGTTATCACAAATATAGGTAGAAATACGATCCTCTATCTCTCCTATAAGATAAACATGAAGAAAATATACAGATTATCATTTTTAAATTTAAAATTAATTTTGATTTCAAGTAGCTAGTTAACTCCCGAAGTTCCGATTGTGATCAACACCATAACAACGCGCATAGAATCATGGGATATACGTAATCGAGACGTGGCGCCATCTATAGTTGGAAAAGTAAACAAATGTTTATTTGACTAATTTCTGGAAATTAAATATGAAGTTTTAGATTTCTTATAGGAAATGTTTTTTATAGTATTTCTCATTGTTGAATAATTTTCAGTTTTTAAAACAGAATGCATTTTGCATGATATGCTTATATGTCAATTGTGGTACGCTAGCAAACTAAGATAAATGGATACACACCCATTTTTTAAAGCCACAGTTTTGAAAGCAGACATACCTACACGTTATCAAAAAATACATAAATAAATAAACAAAATATTCATTTATTGAAATTTCCGCTTATAAGCATTTAGTTTCAGAATCATAGCTGTCTGCAAGAATATTTTTAGAGATCTGATATTCAAAAGGTAGCAATCACGGACACACTTAGAACCCTTAAAATTGCGATACAGAAACAGGAACAATGGATACAGTTGTATATTTTAATGAAAGGTTTTACTTTTTTCTGTTTTTGGGGGGATGGGCAGACTAAAGTGACACTTTGCTGTTTTCCGATAATTATAACCATTAATAAATTTCTCTTTTGTTCCAGTGATAAAAGTGTCATCCCTTCACATTTCTGTTGACTTTTTTTTTTGTGTGTGTGTTGTGTGTGTGTGTGTGCATTCTTTTTAAAAAATTAATCATAAATATTAATAAAAAGAATATTTTATTAGTATTCTGAGGTGTACTTCTTAAAATATAAGTAGATATGTTTTTCGTTAATATTTACCAGCAGAAATGTTATATCGCTTTAATATAGCATATTTGTTATAGCATATTTGGTGATAAGTACAGACAGCAAAATTTGAAATTTTCTGAATTGCAAATTTTCTGCTCTTCTAAAATCTCTTAATTTGCTTCATTAATATTTTTCTCTCTATGTTTTCTTCATTCTATTAATATTTTCATCTCTCACAAATACAATATTATAGCGTTTCATTTTCATTTTGAAAATTCTGAGGTACAACGTTAGTTCTATGACAGCTATGTTATCTTTCTTCTATTTTAGCTTTACTTTAGTTCTATGAAATTCTTTGTTATTTTCAGAAGATGGTATGAAAGACAAAATTTCCATCTTTTGGCTTTTTTCCCTACCTTTGCTTCGTTTCCTTTATTAATTCCAGATTTAAAACATTATCAATTTATTACCTTATAAAAAGCGAAATAAATACTTATTGAATTCAAAATAAACATGTAAATAAGTGAAATATAGTAAATAATTCAGCTAAAAGAGCTAAAAAAATAGAAAAACATTAGAACAATAATGTTTCGGGGGCTTCTAAGTTAAACGAATCATAGCAATACCGAGTGCGACAGTCATTCTTTTAACCACCCGATTAGACAGACGGCTTAAAACTACTTGTACTAAAACAACTCAACTTATGACTACATAAACAGAGTTAAACAATCGTTTATTACGCGTGTATTTAATAGCTTTCGTGTTATAAATTTAGTATTTTAAAGTAATTATTTTAAATTTTCATCTGTAACTAAGCTCCTTTTGTGTAGTTCTTTTTTGTGAGAAATATGGTTTTAAAATGAGATGCCATACAGAATGTGACCAGTTATCATTTGTAAAAATTACACTTAACTTTCATTTATAAAAATCTTCTGGTAATATTTAATTCGTATGAACGACGAAATCGGAATGGTTAAATGTGAGTTTTCTTACTTAAATTTTTACTTTATCTGTACAAGAAAGTGAACCAAAAATTTATATCTCCTGGGCATAATTACTTTTTTTGCAATGTAAGTTCGATCTTGATGAGCCAATTTTAAAAAACGATTCATTACTTATGAGGCAAGTAAGAAAATAAATTTAAAAAAAATTCTTTTATTTACTAACGCAAGAATTTCTGTCAATAAGAGAGCTGCTGCTCAGTACTGTAGCTAGAAAACGACTGAATTCGTACTTAATAATACCGAAATTAAAAAATAAATAAATAAAATAAAATAAATCTGAAAGATTTCAGATTTTAAATTACGTCCAAAGGGACGTTTTTTTAAAGTTTTATGTGTTACATTTATTTATTAACTATCATGTTCTATGCACTGAAACCATAAAATTCAGTTCAACAGCAATATCACAAAATAATTTTAAACTGAGCATATCCTTTAGAATTTCTAATACAGAGTCTCGTGCGCTGGAAATAAAAAGGTTTTTTTTTTTTTTTTTTTTTTTTTCCCCTCCTCCCGTACAGTGTTGCCATTTCTCGCTTTGAAATCATTTAGTTTGCTAATCAAATATTTGTTAAGTGTTACAAAAGATGAAATCCATAATAAAACAAATTTCAAATTCAAATTAGGGCTTCCACATGCCCATATTCTATGGAAGATTACGTTATTCAAATTTTGATGGCTCTAGGTACCGTTGTTTTATCACAATGTGAGAAACATAATATTCATGCAGATTCTTCATTATTTAATTTCTTTAAATATAACATAGGGCGATAATATTTGATGCCAACAATCTGAAAAGTAAAACAATGCTTATCATTAATCGACGCAAAATGCCAAAACGAAAACGAAATTAAGAATCCTTCTGGGCAAATTGCTTCTTTTGACACAAAAAATAGGAATGAGCATCAATAAAGATGGCTAAAATTCGTATAGATGGGACTTAGCACAATATTTTTCCTGAAATTTAAACAAAGGTACAGTGGAAATTAAAAATTTCCTGTTGTTTCGCTAGTATCAGAATCAAAAAGCCGAACAAGTTACACTCACATTAAACAATCGTAAATGTCTCATTTCTTCAGTTTGCTTACGGATGAGGCGCGTTCACATTTCCCCACTTTTTGACATAAATACGTATGATAATTTACGTTCAGAAAAGAAAGACAAATGTAAACTGTGGAGTTTTTAATAATTATTTTTAATTGAGTTTGATTTGAAAGTAGAGATTAATTTTTTTTAGTTAGGTGGTAACAAGTATTAATATTGTTTAAGAGAAGAGGATAAATACTTAGCCCACTTTTATAATATTTCTACCGTTATCGAACGCAAAATGATATCAATAAAAAAATACCCCCAAATTAAGATCTTATGTCCAGCAGTAAAAATTTTCTACGAATTTAAACGTTATTTTATATTTTAGATAAAGATGATAAGATAATTTATGATGCAAAGATAATTTTTTAAATGTTATAGCCTGTAATCTAAAGTTTCCAGACTGCAAGTTTATCGTTCGTTTATATCATCATCATCATTTACTGTGGAAAAGACCCAGGCTTTCATTGTCTTTAAAACTTAATTCTTATATAAATTTTACTTTTCTACATTAAAGAATGCATACATGTAGACTTATCACCTATGGATTATTTACAATCACTTGCTTTTTTCGTTTATAGATTTTGGTGTTCTTCGGCAGCATAAACTGATACGTCAATTCCTAATAGACTTAGAAGGAATAATCGCTGGGACTGAAAAAGAACTGCAAATTGTTAAGAAAGATTAAAAAAAACAAACCTTTTTATTCAATCAGAACTTGAATATAAACCACATTTCTCGTGTTTGACAGGATCAACCACCACTTCTGGTAATGTAACTTAAAATAACTGTAAATTCAAAATTTAAATTAAATCTATGTTAAAATTTAAATTAAATCTATATTAAAAATATTCAATAACTGCTCAATTTATTTAGTGCGAAGTTGTCTCAAAAACTTCTCCCCGGCGTAATAATTTAAAATATCTGCAGCTATAACGCAATCCCAAAGAATTCCAATCTTATCAGAGCTAGCGATACCTATTAACGTGGCTTCGAGAGGCAGAAACATGCTCTGTGTCAAAATTTGAAAGCCTCAGCTCAAATACTCTCAAATTAAATTGCATTCTGGTAGCAAAACGGAAAGCAGAAGTGGCAGTAAAGATCTTAACCATAAAATAACTGGTTATGCAAAACAATAACAACCTTACATGTTCATTTTGCATTATAAAAGATTTTACATTAATTAATTTTTCTAGTAAAAATTCTTGTTTATTCTGTTGCTTATTGAAGATTAATAATTGTGAAAAAGGGCCATAAAATGGCGTTTCTAATTTGTGATTACATAGTGCATAAAGTAAAAAACGTAAATTTTCCATGACGTGTAAATAGCTGTATTAAGATACATGCTATTTAGAAATCGAATTAAAATTACGTAAATTTGTAAGATGTTTCATATACATTAAAAATTAAAAGATGTAAATAAAGACAAAAGAAGACAACAAGGGAAAATTTCATACATAATTAAAGTGCAAATCTAAAGCAGTTTTAAAGAAAATTATGCCCTCATAAATACTTCTCCATTTCCATAAACATCTCCATGGACAAAATGATAACAAAACTTTAATCAGTAAAAAAGTTTCAATATTGATCCTCGGGCCAATTTTGCATGCGTAATTTTTCTTTAATTAGATAAAGCTATGCGGGTGTGAAGCAATTTATAAAATTAATTCTTTTCCTAGAATCTGTTTGGCATCTATTTGAAATAGAGCTCCAATTGGTAATATTTAATTTATTTGTAGTACATAGTGTTACGAAATGTACAGGCGCGGTGAGATAGCTCCCCGCAAAGCAGTTTTAGGATTGCCATAAAAATGGCAAGGGAATGCAAAATTGCCACATTTGGCGAGAAATTGTCCGTTTGGCGACAAAATTGGCGATATACCATGGACGGATGGAGAACCTTATGGAACGCATTCTTACCGGTTTAGCCCAGAATGTTCTCGAACACAAGCCGAAAGCTATATAAACCCTGCTGGTCCGCAGTCAGTTAGTGTGCGTGCCTCGTCTAGCGAGCTGATAGTCAGTCATTGAGCGAGTGTCTCGAAGTCTAGCGCCGAGTTGGTCGTCAAGGGCATCGAGAGAGTCTTTTAGTGCATCGCGAATTAGTGCATCGTCGAGTTTTGTCTTAGACTGGAGTCTTAGACTTGTCTTAGATTGGAGCCCTTA